GGGGCCGGGAGGGAGGGAAGGAGGCCTCCGAGGAGAGCGGTTCCCGAGTCCCGGGAAGCTGCCCCAACCCCGCGGCCGCTCCGCCTGAGCGCTCCCCATAACCGGCTTTTTGTGTCCCCGCTTGGTGTCTTCAGCTCCCCCCTCCATCGCCCCCTTTTCCCGGCTGCTCCCGCCCGGCCCACCGGGGCCTCCACGCACCGGCGCTCTGGGTAAGGTCAGGCTGTGTTTTGGGAGTGCTGGTTTGAAATAATAAATAGTGGTGGTGTTGTTTTCCGGCTGTAACCAAATAAAATGTGAAGTAAGTGTTGTCTTCTCTATCTCTTCCTTCTGGTTTTCATCGTGTGTGGCAGAACTATTGCTTGTGTAAGTAGTATTTTGCATAAAATGCATTCATGTATGCCTTTAGTGTGATGACACTTGATTATCTCTTTTCTTGTGAGGGAACGTAGCCAGTTAGTTAACTAGTAGAAACGTTTGTGTTTTCACCTACAGTGTTCTTCTGGACAACACAGATTTCTGTAGTGTTCGCTGAATTTTTTTGAGATCACATGATCAGATGTACTGTGCTCTCTGCTGTATTTGGAAAGCCATTTTTGCAATACAGTTCCTGCACTAAACCAGAATTTCATCTTAAAGAAATGTTTTGGGTGGTTAAGGCATAATTTTTTCCAATACACACTTTTACAGCATTGTTCTGTTGTAGGAGACTAATTCAAGGGTAGCTATGATCTAGGCACAAGCTGGTCTCAGGAAGATCAGCAGTGTGAATGTAGAGTCCGTGTAAGTATGTTCAGTAGAGTGCTTAGTGCTGCTCCATTTTCTCCTCTGTATGAAACGTTCTTAGATCTTTATATAAAAACCCAGTGTGTTTTTCTATATTTGTCCTTGTTTACTGCTCCACCCAGTTTGGTGTCCTCTGCAAATGTCATCTGGCTTCTTTGCCTTTGCCACTCCCATCCTCTTTCAAATTGCTAATGGGAATGTTAAAATGGGACCTAAGAATGACCTGCTGGTAATGTACACTTACTGCCGATCCATTACCAGACTGTTTAATTTTGTTGTTGGGTCAGTTTTCAGAATGTGGTATGGGGTTAAACCCAGGCAGATTTGAATACCTTACGGGTGACGTAGGCAGCAGTACCTGAAATTCTCTGCTAAATTTAAAATCCTTGTTTGTATTCTGAAGGGCTGCTGTAACACAGTTCCTAATATTCATAACTCTTCAGTATAGCTTGCTTACTAGTACTGTGGTCCACAGTTGGTGTTGCTGTAGATAACTATTATTTTTTTTTAATTGGTCCATTTGTGTTTCGATGGTAACAAATAAGTATCTTGTACCCATCCGTTGATTTGTTAGCAGTGTGGAATATGGCAGTCCATTAGCATTTATATTTTTTCTAATACTTGGAATGAAGAATATATTTGGATCCAAATATCTGGACTTGCCTTTTCAGATTTAGTTGCTGGGGAGTTTACGCAGAATGTTTACTTTGCTGACAACTTCTTAGTTTTCTTTCTTTTGCCCTTTTCTGAGTCACAACTGACCCTCTGGATTCTTGTTTGGTTGTTTCCTACTTTTCCATTTTCTCTGCAGAACTTTTACGCAGCCGTAACAACCAGTTATGAAGAAGCCAAGCAGGGATACTGTCTGCTAGTATCCCTTTGTCGTATGTTAGGTATTTGAATATTCACTCTTTTTTGTGTGTGTCATCATTTGTTACAAAACTTCTGGAAAGTAACTTTAGTGTCTCTTATGCCCTGGTTAGCAAGCTAACTGAATTCAAGGCTTTTACAAAGTTGTTGTTGATGTTAACACTTACTAGTATGGATAGCATTGAGGTACTTCCACCCCCCACCCCCCCCTTACTGAGTTTGTATTATTGGAGACCTAATAAAGAGCATAGTGCATGTTAATAGTTAGCTTGCGTGTTTTATGTTAGTAGCCCTGCACTAGCCTAGTAAGGAGGGTGATTGGAACCAAGCA